AGTGAAAGTCGCGACAAAAGATATCCCCTAATTCACAACAGCAACACTTTCCAAATATGACTTGCGGCCCCCGCCCCCGCGCGTTGAACATTAGGGGGAAGGGATTAGACTCACACGAATCTCAATGTCCTGTTCCACAGAGTGAAGACAAGCCTTTTCTTGTACAGTAACTCTAGATGTTTATGTTCAGGGACGACTGACTGGGTCAGTGCTTGGAATACACTTCAAGGCTTCGTACAGCATACGCATTTACACTAAATTAGATGCCTACTAAGTTGTGCAGAGCTTCCGCAAGGGATCCCTCACGCTGAAGACGTCGTCGGGGTCGCAAGGTCCATGCTCGATTTCTCCTCGTCTTGACAGGAATGACCCACGCTTCTTTGATGCTTTTTTCATCCAGCAGAATGGTCGGTTATTAGGGGTCTGAGTCAGCTTTCGGCGAGGCCGAAACGATTATGCTACCTTGCACGTGTCCGAAACCTTTTCTCTCTATCTGCCACACGTTGTTGTTATCGCATCTTTGCGTGCTCTAAACTAAATTCAGCCAAAGCTTTGAAAGTTTAAGTCTAGAAAGTGACGAGCCTGAAGCCAGTCCGCAGTCCACAAACTTAAGAATCGCTGTAGAAAGCGACCGATGCGGGGGGGCGGGGGAGCGCAGAACAAGTAACAACGCGCGCGCACACACAAACACACAAACAAACACACACACACACACATCGCTGCTTCAAAAGGCTCAAGCCACGAGCAAAACGGTCCTCAAGCCTTTCCGGCGAAGCCCAAACGAAAATAAAAGAGCGGAGCCACTCGTGCCAAGGTTCCATCCCAAGGAACCACGTCGGGCGGCGCGAGTTCCTAGGCAACAGCAAATCGGAAGCCGCATGAAGAACATGCTTTGTGTACGCAAGTGTGACTGACTTCAGATTCAGGGTCCCAGATTGTCGAGAAGGCCTGGGAAGGCTTTAGAGTCTAAACGGGATTACAGGGATCAATGTAGCTCTCCGCTTCGGTGAAGTGGAGGGCGCAGTCCTGCAAGCTTGGACTAAGCTAGACATCCCCTCAACAAAAGGGCTCCAGGCTGTCATGCTTCCGAGCAATGATACAGGAAGTATTGTATCAACGCGTCTGTATGTGCGGTGCCCACTGTCCACACAAAGCACTGCGATGTGCCCAACTCCCACCCCCCACCCCGCGCAAACGGATGTGCAATGGTCTGACGTGATAATTTCTGAAACCGCAGCAATACGTCAAGACAAAGAGGGCAGCCGCTGTTGAAGCACGACCCGGGGCTTAAGCTCAGGCGCTTGCTGCTCCCTAATGCCAAAGGGTATCTACGTTGTTGTTCACAGCCTTCAGAGGCTTCTATATATAGATAGATAGATAGGTAGATATATAGATAGATAGATAGATAGACAGATAGACAGAGAGAGAGAGAGAGAGAGAGAGAGAGAGAGAGAGCGCAACAGAGAGAGAGAGAGAGAGAGAGAGAAGAAATTAACGCCTCAGAAAACGACAGAATCCCCTGCATATGTGCTTTGCACCCAGCAGCATCTGCGAAGCATGCAGGGAATACTCAGGTGAAGCGGCCAAACGCCATGCTTGAGAGTGACATGCTGGGCCAACTGCGCACAGCAAGGTCGACAGTTCACTGGAACCCCGGACATATCAGACCAGGAGTTGGGGCCATCTGTGTGCTTACGGCGTGTGTCGAAACTTGTGGCCAAGCAGCGAAGTTTTTCACCTTGCCCTTGGGAAGTGGCAGCCTCAGTCGGCTGAATTTGCTATTCGAGTCCAGACCCCGTGCGGTTGCTTGAGTGCTGAAGTTCGCATTCTTGCTTTGGCTTTGCTCTCAGGCGTGGAACTTGGCATCCCGACAGCCTCGGCTGTGATGTGAGGGTAAGCTGGTTGTAGTGACTTTCGCACTGGCCCTTCTCTGGGCTGGATACCTTACTGCTGCTTCTTCAACCAAAACGTTGCAGTTGCATCCTCTCGGGGCTTCACAGTGAACTCCGTTTAGCCTAGTTACCTAGTTGTCCTCAAAAGCTTACAACTTGTACATTGTGTGTGTGTGCGCGTGCGTGCGTGCGTGCACTTTTGCAAGTGCAGATCTCCGGAGGCTTCCTGTAAAGCCATTTCGCAATGCAACCTTCCTTTGAGTAGCAGTAGCAAGCTCGTCGCAACTGCTGCAATCGACACCAACAGGGAGGACATGCCGAAAAGTTGCAGCCAGTACCATGCCGTGAGCGGCAACTACGCACCCTGGCCACGTCCGGCCGTTTGTGAAACAACAGGCCGCACACGCGAAGTCGAGGCCCAGACCCTCCATACTGCCCGTTGATGCCACCGCCCATTCGTGGGCCATTGCCCGAATTCACAAGTCTCCGGCCTGGGCTTCCCAATCCTCAGTGCTTGACAAAATGCTTCGACCAACTCTTGCTCTCGTACCAGGCTAGACTCGGCTAGACGGCTAACCGCGATGCTTGTGCAGCTTGGATTCCATCCTGGTCTCCCTGGTATCGGAAGCTCCGTGGCCGGCGCCGACAGGCCCGTAGCCTCGGATTAAGTCCCAGGAAGAGTCTGCTCTGAGCAGCAAGCCGGAGGAAGCTCCTTATACCGGATCCGATGACTGCGCAACCGCGCCTGAAGGTGATATCGGCAGGGCTTCTCGTCGAGCTTTTGCAAGAAACGAAGCATCAGATTCTACGCGATTGGAGAGCTTTGACTGTACTGACTGTACTGCTTGCTGCCTGGTTCCTCCACCGTAGCGGTCATAGCCACTGCCACGACCCCTGCCGGCATAGCCGCCATAGCTTCTGCCTAGTCATTCTGCTCCACTAAGAGCAGAAACCACTCTAAAACTGCGATCAACCTGTCACCCAGCAGTTGAACACTAACACACTTTGAAGTTGGATTTCTCCTTCCTCTGGGGCTCAGCTAGACTACGTTTCCGGACCCTGGCGGCAACAACGAAGCTATAATTGAATTATATCAAAGCGGGATTCGGTACCAACAGCGCGCAAGATATGCAAAGATCGCACCGCTGTTCCACGAAGCTGCAAAGGCATCAGACAACGCTCGTCATCGTGCATCGGTGACAGTTGCTTGGTTTCAGCACTGAAGGCACCCTCCGGTTCCGATCATTTGTCCCACGGGTCTCACTGCTCGGTTTGCGACTGTGGAAAGACTTTTGTGAATCTCGCACGAATCCGGTGCGCTGCTGAAGGCTCTGCATACGCGTCTATAGATAGATAGATAGATAGATAGATAGATAGACAGATAGATAGCATCAGACAAGCCCAAACCCCGCGCGAGTCTTCTCATCCAGAAGCAGGCGATACGTATGCTCAAGATGTCCCAACTGCGAGTCCAAGACCAGTGCACATGCCATAGACAGCCCAAGCCAGAGATGCCTTGACATGAGGAATGGGCTCCAAGACGAAATCTAATTTCACCGCCTGCCTGCCAGGCCAGCTGGCCCAGCTGGCCCGAAGGGCCCGCGACCGGCACCCCTCCCTGAGAGGCGCAGAGTGGCTTGTTGTGTGTCCTGCTTTAGGGCCTAATCTTTCTCCGGCTGTGTGGACTGAAGGGGTGTCGGGTCACTACCTCGTGAGTCTAGGGGAGCTTCCTGGGCTGCGATTGGAGGAAGGAGGATTCGAACGAGCGAACACCCTGCTGCAAGTCGCGACATTGAAATGGCTGAAGATCAGGTATGCTATAAAGTTGTTTCAGGCTTGCCTACGGTGATTGAAGCTTCTAAATGTAAAGCTCCCGCCCATGGCCTTGCCCTGCCATTGCATTCATCTCGTTCCCGAGCATGTCAACCTCTTCCTGCACCGCCTCTCAGGAATGGAAGAACATGTATAAGAGTGCGGGGTTAGAACTAGTTAAAACCGCAGTGGAAGCCAGGAGGCCCTACGTCACCGCATGATGAGCGGAGCCTCGTCGAGGGATTTGCCCGACTTTTTCGCGAGCTCCATCGCCAGAGCTCTTGCCTCTAAAAGCGAGAAGAGAGGAACTCAAGCAGTGGCTTCGTGGGTATTAATATTGAAATGGTTTCAGGACACATCAATCTCGGACAGAATCGAAACGGACTGCAGACCACACTGGACACTGAAACCATCTGGAATCGTTGCCCACCTTCATCCCACAGAGATGGTCCAAAAGACTAATGACTAATTCGTGCCGCCACTTGATCATCTCCAATCATTTGTTGCGTTGGGCGGGATCCATATCTCCGAAAAGCCAGAACCGCCCACAAACCCAGAACCCAACACTGCTGACGGACGAGATGGCTGCACGAACACTCTCTACTTCACTCACGACAGCATTGATTGTCTTCTGGTTACCGGCTAGAACCTGTCTGTAAAAGGAGATGCTCGGCTTGTCTGAGAAGAAAGCTCGGCCTGGAGTTCATACCGCGACTAGGCCACGCTTCTTGTCCTTGACAGGCCCTTGGACGCCTTGGTTGGCGGCCTTGGTGGCGTCAGCTCCTCGAAGCTCGTCACGGACCTGGGCTTCTTCAACGAAAAGGAAGGCAGGCCGCGGGTGAAAGATGCCGGTGGCAGAAAAAGGATTTTCAAAACACTGTCTCAACTCCCGGGTCACTTCTTTCAACCTAAGCCTATCGTGAAGGAAACTGTGCCGGATTGGGACGTCTAGCGTGCAGCAAGGCACAAGAGTCTGCTCAGCAAACTACCAGGCATGGGCCGCTTGCGGGCAGGGACAAAGCTGGCATTAGGTTGTACGAGCCCGTGCATGTGCAAGCTTCTGCATATGTTGGTGGCATGGGAGGATCTAACATCTTCGGGTGCATGGAAACCCTTTGAGTGGGAAGGCTAGCAATGGAACATGCGATGCAACCGCTTGAAGTCAATGGCGTCTGATGAACCACTGGCCCCACGCGCTCGAGCCAGACTTCGGAACTTGAGGCCTCTCGGTCACCACATGCTGTGTTTCCGACGGCCGGGTCCCCAAACCCCTGCCCCAGCGCAAGGGTTGGATTCCTAGGCATCGCGAAGTCCAAGACATCAGCCGGCAAGGGCGAACCTTCCCAGAGAGCACTAGAACTGGGCGCGGGGAAGTCGAAGCGCTTTGCGGGGCTGAGGGGCGCTGAGGAGAGCCCAACTAGGCGAGCCTCAGGCGAGCTGGGAGCCGCTACGAGGAGGGCCCGGGCCCCAAGCGTTAATTCAGCCCATATGATTTCCTCAAAACGGTGCAGGTTTCTGCAGACTCTCGAGGCGCCTCGTTGCTCAACCCATCTCAACGCACAAGTCCCGTCTTTGCTCCTCTAAGCTCTTCCCTGCAGCAAGGACCTGCCAGTTTGAAGAGGGGCTCGATCGGCCTTCCGGCAGTGTCAGCTTTCAGCATAGGCTCGGCGAGGGATTACTGCTGGAGAGGGCCAGTCAGTAAGGACTTTGTAGGCAAACTCGGCTGATGGTGCAGTCGAGCGATGTCTCCAATCCGTGCAGCAATTCAACGCAACAAGGGCTATGCTCTGCGACGGTGACCCGGGAACGTTCAACAAGCTATGTGCCTCATGCCAATCGCAAGCTTCCTCTCGGCTAGATTCGGCTAGGCGACAGTTATTGGATGCTTGGATAGGCTAACTGCTAACTCCCTCCTAGCTGCAGTCTCTTTTTGTCTGCATGCAAGTGAAGACCGACCCTGGCATATCTTGACTATGCCTCAGCATGGCCACAGCCAACATGCGGAGAGCGTTGTACTGGACCTGACGACGTAGAACGGAGGACCGGACTCCAAACTGCTCCGAGTTCATCAGCTGTTGTTAATTGTTACAATAACAAACTGTGCAATTCAGGACTGCTGAACCCCCGGGACAATTCACCTCCCTATATAGATAACGCATGAAAAAAAATTAAACCAGAGCCTGTAATTCTGAACCACATCTCCTCTGGATAAGTCCGACAGGATTCGATCTCGGCTGTTAGTGGCTTCTCAAAGTTGTGTAGTCTCGCCGTTTACCTAGCTTGTTCGTTTGCCCGTCATTATTATCATATAACAAGGAAAGATTACAATATGTACACGATAAGATCCGGTATGCTGTGGTGCTCTTGCATTGTTCATCTCTTTATTACATTATTCCGTGCATGCATGCCTCGTTTAGGCTGCATGTAACATGAAATGACACAAAGCAAAGCAGTACAATCAAGCACAATGGTCTGAATTTCATTGTCTGCCACCAGTAAATCACAACTTACATCACCAATCTTGCAAGTTGAGGGAGCGTAAGCCTACCCTGTGTTCTAACCGATCTACCATATTTTTGTCGCCCGCGTGGCACGCCATCGACAGCACTGCGGGAGTCTTGACACCATAATGAAAGGAATGCACTGAACTGATAGCACGGTTTGCTCATATTCGATGACCACACAGCCGTAAAGATTGCCTGAGGCCCCTGCCCAGGCCATGTATCCCATCTGCAGCAACACCATCGCCATGACTGCACCGACTCCAACCTCAAAAACTGATTGCAGGGGCCCTGTGTTGTTGGGGCTTCGGTATATTGGCAGTGTGTCGTGGAGCTAGATTGCGCGCTCCCTTCAAGTCGGAGCTCTTGTTCCCGTCAACTACGCAACGATGCTCTGCGTGGGCATCCTAAGCTCTGTTTCGGAAGCCGTTTCTCAGCCTTTCATCCCAAGCCTCCGAGCCATTCCAGCCCATATGTGTGCCATGCGTCGTGACCGTGCTCTTCCAATGCTCATAACACAAAGTGTCGCCTCCCCCCTTTTGCTGAGGTCCCCAACGACCTGCAGCAACACCGCGGCAGGGATGGGCACTGGCCCACTTTGGGCATCGGCGGTGCCTGCTAAGCGGCCGGCCACCTGAGGAGCGGGGAATGTTGATTTGGATTTGGATAGAATGGGTGTCGGTGCCAGCTGCTAGGCTGCCATGACGCTTTCGAATGCCGAAACCTTAAAACCTCTGCACCCTTGATGCGCAATGTTTTCAACTTCAAAGCCCGAAGAGCCCCTGTGGCTGTGGCATAGTCTTTGCACTTTTGCACGCAAGCCTCGAATGCCCAAGGCTTCGATCTTCATTGCTCTTGCAGCAGTGGGGTGTGGAAACTGTGCGGTCTCGCGGCTCGCATGCATAGCTTACAATGACGCAACAAATCCCAGATTGAAAGCACATCATAGGACGGCGGGGCTACCATGCTTCTGCACGTGCGACAGTCATAAGCATCAACAGCGAAACGAGAGCACTCTACGTGCAACGCTTTTTGTATCAATGCAATATCCTGTCGAGGACCCCGCCGTTCCATATGGCTCGAAAGCTCGTCGCTTGACTCCAAGACGTGCCATCACCTCCAGCAGCAAAAGCTCCAGTCTCTCGAACAGTCTCGGGCGTAGGAGCATGAAAGGCAACGAAGTGGAGACGGTCGCTCGAACCGTGCTCGTGGACCTGGAAAGGAAATTCCCCGTGCACCATGTACCCTGTTCTTGAATGGAAGGCCAGACACGGTCTGACCGTGTGTAGTCACAGAAATGACTCCACTTTCACCTGACCTGTGGAGCTTCCTTGGCCCAACATGCTGGCATGCTGTCCTCCCGCCAGCATTACTTTCTCAACGAAAACGGCACCTGCGAGTTCTAATCAGCGACAGTCTTAGAAGTTCGGGCCTGAACCAAAGCAAAAGGCTCGTCTCCCGCGCCTTCATCGTGCAAACGCCGACCAAGCCAATCTCGGCGTTCAGACGACATCTTCATAAGACTTCACATTCTCTGAGACTCGGAGAGGCGAGTCTCAACCTACAGTATGCAGACACAACGCTAGGCCGCTAGGCAGAGCGCCTAGGCAGAGAAGATCTCTAGGGCAATCTTTTCGGGAACGCTCGTCTTGGCCCAGTAACCGTCAGATGCCGCCCAAATCACACGCATACATGTCCCATAAGGCATCCATACCTTTCGCTGACTCTTCTCTGCAGAAGCCGTGAGAACTGCCAAACACTTCTGATGTCCAGTCCGCCGGGCCCCATGCATAAAGCCTCGGTATAGAAATGGCTCGAGAGTTCAACGGGCCGTCATGGAAGCATCAAGAAGCTTGATTTCACGATGGCCCTTTTCTTTCTGTCTGCTACACCATGATGAAGTCTGTGTTCGCGGAAAGTCTGTGCTTGCGCTTGGGATTCGGGTCACGGAACACACGAACCAGGAACGGGGGTATCTCAAGTTCAGGCGCGTGTTCCAAACTTGCAACACCGCCCTGGAGCAACATCTCAGCCCCGAGCAAGACCACGACAGCGCAAGGCACGATGACCATGGAGGTATCCTCTTTCGGGGGCTCCTTGCATCGTCAACGGCATCCAAGTTCCTACAACCGAACTTTCAGATGTTTCCCGACGGCTTTCGAAACCTAGGCTTGGCATCGAAGAAGGACCGGCCTTCGTCAAGAAGAGCCTCGGAAGCGTGCAGGAACCCGGACTTGTAAGTCCCGGCACTCTTCGTCAGCGATCCCTGGAGCATGTTGAAAATGCCGAGAACATCTGGCAGATCTGGCACCGGACCGGGACAGCGTAAGCACGGCACAACACCCGGGAGATCTCATCCGCCAGGCACAGGGCACCTCAAGGCGGGCAGATTCTTAGATACTGCATGCAGTCCCACTAGAAGGCAACAGCATTGGGAAGCGCAGGGAAGAGAGCACCAGTACTCTCAGCCGGCATGCATGACGAATAAGCTCACCTCCAACCTCGGAAAACCTGGACATCTTATCATGCAGACCTGACCTCGACTGCGAATGTTGAGACTTACACTGACACCTGCACGTGCTTCCCGGCTGCCTCAAACGACGCACAAAAAGCCAATTGCGACTCGCATGGTCAGGACGAGACAGAGCTAATTCTTGAGACGGCTCCTGGCGATGATGCAGCGTTGGTCACACTAAGTCGGACAAAAACGCCTCCAAAGCTAACCCTGAAGGCTTTCCTCGCACTGCGGGATAGGAGCCAAAGCAAATGACCAAGACCAGCGAAGCCTCGACAGTGATTTTTTCGCTGCCGGCTTAGGCTTTGTAACTTGAAGGCTTGAAGGCATCCAGCTTCGCGATTTCCGGCCTAGCCTGCACGTCAGAATTTCTGGTCTACGCTCCCGGCCATACTTGCTCTATCAGCTTCCAAAAGTCTCCGTCTTGCAGACCCTACCGGTGCAAATCACTCGCCATCAAAAGTTGGCCCAGGCACCAGGGTGTGCCACCTGGGCGACGCCTGGCAGGCATCGTCATGGCAGTTGCGTAGCTTCAAGTTCCACATACACGAGGAACTCCGGTCCGAGCGAAAGCTTGATGCGCGAGCCGACAGCCTGGCTGCTGCCCATCAACAACGGCACCTCGCGGGGTTTCTTCTTGGAAGGAAGGTCTCACTCCCAAACCGATCCTGATCCCCCCCAAAAAAATTCCGGAGAGATGCTCTCTTCAAGGAGCTGCCTTAAAAGGTCTGCCAAGACGCACAGGTGGTCACGGCCAGGAAGCACATAATCAGCTCAGCGACGTAGAGGCTGAACCTTGCTGAACCCTCCAGCCCAACCGTCTCTGGCAAGTTTAGCACACGAAGCACTGAACAACAGCTGGTATCCACCAGCACACTGGAAGGTTTCGGCAAACGCAGGTCGCAAGCAACTTTCTCGCTCAATGCACCCGTGACTGCTTTCCCTGGATTCAACATGCTGGGACACTGCCGCATCATGGCGGACCCATGCTCTGCTACTGAAGCTGAACCCCGAGCTCTCCTCCAGACTCAACCGCTGACTCAAGACAATCACAGCTTGAATCATAATCTGATCCGGGCCACGGGTTCGACGGCAGAACCCCAAGCACCTGGATGACCAAGACACTGATTGCCTTACATCCTCTAGGGTTTCCAGTGACGCTTCAGCTGTCAACGCACGGCTGAGACTCCAAACCGGTCAACCCACATCTCGACTCCAGGTGAAGAGGCCCAGCTGGTTGTGTCTGCTCTAGATGCTATCGGAACTCCATAAATAACCGGAGTCTGCAGTGTGGGGATGCGGTTTATGTCTAACTTGTTACATGTCGAGGCTCAAGCAAGCTAAGGCTAACTTCAAGACTCAACACCATCTTGCTATGTGCCCTACACGCTCAAAGCCTGGTCCTCAACCCTGTAGCACCGAAGTTTTATGACTTCGTGTTGCAGTTGTTCGGGTGTCTGTGCTGCCCAAGCGCCCACTGGTTCACCAACAAGTACCCGGTCAGTGAGGAAAGCGTAAACGCCAAAGCCGCCTCTTCGCAGGAAGGACAAATGAACCCCACGGGCACTCGGGTACTCCTTTGCGACATGGCCTGCATCAACAACCAGATTCCTGCTTCAGTGGCAGCTGATGGAATGGCATGGCTTGATGCTTCGCAGGGCTCCAACTCCAACCCAAGGTGTTTCAAGCGGTCCAGAGGAAAATGGAAAATGTATGGTTTGGCTTTTGGGAGCACATCCATGCGCAAGGCAAGAGCCGCTTGGCAAACGACGGTCTCCAAGCTGATAGCCCTACCCCCACGGAGCCTCCCAGGGGGAGTAGATATCGACCTCCAGCGGGAAGCTTTGGGTCGCGACACAGGACCCGATGTTCAGAACAGGAGGGCTCCAACGGGCTACAAAGGACACAGGAACAGTTTTGCCGATGGCTTCGCTTTCACGGCTCTTTGTTGGAGGCCCTGAGGGCTGCGGAGCAAGTCTTTCCCCGGCACCTGCGAGATTGAAAACTGGGCCCATCCAACCGGTCTATCTTCGAAACCCTCACCGCATTGCTGGTGTTCAATTAAGTTTAAGCTGCCTGGACACAAACCCGAAACGAGCAGTCTTCTGCATAGGATTTCAGGTCGGGCGATGATGTGGCTTTGGGGGAGAAAAGCCAACCTCTTCGTTGCCGGGCAGTACTCAGAGACATGCACCTGGTGCATTGTGGTACGTTGCTTGAGTGGATCCTTGCTGTGCAAGGACATGAGCAGTATAGTCTAGTCCGCCGGATTCACGGTGCCCTGCCCTGAACAATTCCTTCCCCGGATGCACGACCCAATCTCAGCTTTGCTGCACAGGTTGGCTTCAAGCTCAATCCGCGGAGACTGAGGCGTCCGCCGAGAAGAGATCTAACGGCCGCCTACCAGGCGAGATATTCTAGGATATTCCGAGGTGAAAAACTCTAGCCCATTGCTGGTCAGCAAGCTAGCAACGGCCGAACAAAGCATCCATCAAATGCGGCAAACAGCTCGCGAAGCATGGCTTCACTATCAACCTAGGAGATGCGGAGCGAGTAGCGGAGTGTTTACGGCCGCATTTCGAGGCCACAACCACATTCGCTTGAAGATGAGAACGTGTTGCCAGATCTGAGAGAGTTCAACTTTAAACCCATTGGTGCCCCATCCGTGGCCTGCCCTGCAAAAGTGCCGCCGTCACACAGACCAGGCCAAGCCTGAGATGAGTCCGAATCCAGGGTTTGACCGAGCGCTCTATCCGCTATTCGAAAGAAGCACATTTTTTACGCATGTGACTCATGACCTGCCACAACCAGTTCCGACACTTTACTTGCATTCTGATCGGAGTATCAACAAACGCACACTTTGGTGGAAGAGGGGGCTGTGCATTTTCGGGGCTTCAGCGCCTCTGGAGAGTTTTGGGGCTTTCAGCCATCTGGTGGAAGGCGCGAATCGAAACCTGGCCGAATGCCTCGCTCGGACCACTAAGAGATACAAAGGGCCACACCACAACTGTCAAATTAAATCTCACTCGCACTTGGAACATCTGCGCGATTGATGCGCCTTCTTCTGGATTGAGCTATACTTGCACAAACATCAAGAGGTGGGTATCCAGCTTATCGTATTCTCAACATGAGGCCGCAGTCTAGTATTCTACTTCAGCTCTTGACTCTCGGACAAGTCTCGCGATAAACGGCTCCATCTCTCTGCCTGCACGCAGGACGCTGCTCCGATTCCGGGAGTGCGTTTCAGTACTCGTTCTGCCAATATCCCTAGTCATGAATGCATGTACCAACGTATGTGCTCCATGCCATGCGTGTATAGGATTATGCCTGTGTATACACACATGCATGCATGCATGCATACATATACACATACACAAATACATACATGCGTGCGTGCGTGCGTACGTACGTACATACACACACACACCACAAATTAGCACACACACACACATGCATACATACATACATACATACATACATACATACATACATACATACATACATATATATATGCTACACCCCCCCCGATGTACCTACCTGTTTGGCGTGTTTATACCACCGGCGTATGTCGGCAGAACCTCAAGCGCAGGGGCGCTGGTGACAGCCGTACTGTTCGCAAAATAACCGTGTCTCATGCGTTCCCTACACAGCTTCATAGTCAAACAGTATTTGCAATACAGCGACAATACAATACGACATTATTAACGATATTTCAATATAACATGGCAGATACTAGCAAAACATAACACGGCTTAACATGACAACGCAACACAACCCAACATAACATAGCACTGCATAACGTACTATAACATATCGTAACATAACATAATGCTCTAGAGCGGTATATTATGTATAGTGCAAGATAGCATAGCAAAACCGTACTATAACACCACAGCAGAACACGACAAACATAACATATTGTAATAAGGTTATAACAAAAACCAGTCTAGTGTAA